TGTATTTCCGTGATAAAGAAAAAAACCAAAATACTTTTATACATACGAGTTAGCTAAGGATGAAACTTTTATTTGGTCAAATTTAATCAAAATACATATATATATATATATACACATAAAATTTGAGTGAAGATATGGTTAATTTTTAAAAAATGGTCACGCTCGTATCCAAATTTGACATAAGTAGGTTTTTAACGCTTAAATTGTGATAATTAAAAAGAGAGCTCACACAAAAAGAACCATAAGACCAACTAAAGGCTCAAGTGTGAAAAATGCATTAAATGCATGACTTCTTTGAAATTTCATAATTAGCCATCACAAATTCTAAGACATTAATATTAAATTAATTTTTAAAATTAGAGGATAATTTAGAAAGACTTCAACTCTTTGAGAATCGATCACCAACTCAGAGACATACATTATATGATTATACAAGATTCTTGATAGAAAACCAAGGTTGACGGTTTTCCTGGATTACATTCCATTTTATCATTTTATATCACTGCATATTTTCTCTCTTTCAATCAAAGCCTTCAGATGAGTATTGACTGTATCAGGTTGTAGGTCTGGTACTACTGATTCTATACCTAATGTCAAGAAATTTATCTATTAAGAGACAACATTGATTAATTCTCGAGAATATATCATAAAAGAATATTAACATTTATACTATAGTGTATAATGTACAATGTCTGGGATGTGTCTGCTTATTTTAAGCCAACTCCCAAAATCCTAAAACTTCGAATTCAAGAATGTCCAACACTTAGATACGCATCTGGACCTAATAGGCATACCTAAGTCCATGTAACATAGGCCAAGTGAATTTCGTATCCAAATCCACCTTCGCCTCTGCCACTATGAGCACCCTGTTGCCGTGGATTTTCGAAAGTTCAGCCTGGTTTCCTTTAAGCCAGTTCAGCTAGGGTTGCTCCAAGATGAGTTTAACAGAAAGAAACAGTCGCATTAAGATCAGCAATAGTTCTAGCCATGGCTCCTTGAGCCTTTTTGGCTTGCAGCAATAGCTGGGTACATTCTATTCCTCATCTAAATTTTCACTGCCTAACCCATCGATATTTATCTTATTCAGTTGAGCTAGCGGGGAACACTAGTCTGCAGCACGTTGGCCTTCACTTTTTGCACTTTCTACAACTTACAACCAGTAGGATACTCGGTAGCAACCTGGCACACCGAGTTGAAATCTGGCAAAAGTCTGACTGGTGTGCATCATGAACCGTGATCAACACTACCGACAGTAAGCCTTTTACGATAGATTGAGTATTCATCATCCTTTCCCTCAGGGGATTGCTGCTTAACAAGCAGAAAACTATGAAGAAAGAGAGGTTAGAGACAGAATCTCTCGCCTTGGCTTCTACGAATGTTAACTAAAAGGCCTTAGACATCTGATTGAAATGAATGTAGTCTTTTCTCTTTTTTTTCGGTAGGATTTGAAGGCATAAATTCAATTTATAGAATATCAGCAATAAATAGTGAGAAGAATACATGCCAACTGCCGGCTATCACAGCTTGGTTGGGGACTCATGATAACCAAGTCCCAAAGAAAAGAGAAGTTTTAGTTTGATCTTCCATTAAAATTTGAAAGGGTGCTAAAACATTCCCATAAACAAAAGATCTCTTGGATATACAACAATTGGTAGGAGGCCCTAGATGGCAAAAGAAGTGCTATTAATGCAACTTCCGATGAAAAAATTAGGATGAACTGTGACTAATTTTAAGATAGCAGGGGAAGGAGAAGATGAATATCTGCCAAAGCACCTTAACAATTGCTATACGTTGGCTCATACACATCATCTTCTATCACTATAACTTCTTTATGCCTTTTGTGGTATAGATTAGCTGTTATCTCCCTCCACAACTAGACCTAAATGGCAATATTCAATTAGAAAAAAGGTTAATTGTGTTCTTGTTGCATTTGAATCATTTTCTTTCCTCTAGTTATACCTGTTTCCCATTTGAGATCTTTTTATTTTGTTCTGTGTTTTTTGATTTATCAAGTATTAAGAACATTATGGATTTAGTGTTACCTAGTATTCTCTTTCTTTCTAAAACAACAACAACCAAAAAAAAAAAAAAAAAAACAGAGAAACTTCTTTTAATTTTTTTTAGCCACTTTGGACTCTGGGATGGTTTGCAAACTCTAGATGCACCGACCATCACCCCCAAACAACGTGCATCATTTAAACCCAGACTTCACATTTGGTGAGACTCGAACTAGAGACCTAAGGGGAGTATCCCCAAATGGGTAACAATCAGCAAAAACTAGCATTCCCCGCTACCTCTTTTAAGTGGGTTAAGCTTAATAAACAAGCTCGATTTCAGTACCTTTGCTAAACAAGGAGCCCAAACTATTCCCAAACAACTCAATTTATTTGCAGCCCTACGAAGATGATTAGGCAAACTAATCAAAGACTCGAACACCCAAACCTAAAAGTTTAAAATAAATAAATAAATAAAAATAGCCCTCTCTTTAATTTACTAAGAGAAGTGAGGAAAAACAGACCATTTCTTGTGTTTTATATTCCAAGAAATAAGTTAGTTACCTCCCATCGATTCAGCCAAATATTTGCATTACTTTTAGTCAAGTGCAGAGTTTTACTATTCTTGTCCCAAATAATGAAAAGAAGTAACAATAATTCAAAATTTTGATATATATACTCTTTTTATCCCTTAGATTATCCTCAGAAAATATGGAGATGAGCATATGATTAGAGAAAAACAAATCAAATGAATAGTCATAAAATGAAAAATGTAAATCAACTATAACAGAAAATATACCCATATACACTGTTCGACGAATATCCACAATGGAGAAGCAAATATAGCAAACATCAATGAATATTACATATATATAGATATATATATATATATATTATACACACACACAAAGACAGAAGAGAATAGGGACGAAAAACTTACTACGTTGAGAGCCCACTTCTCCTGTTTGTGGACTTGTGAGTGGCACGACCAGAAAGTCTTGAGCTTTTCCATTAAGATCCGTTGGAGCACACAATCGCGGAGAGAAGAGTGATTACTTCACTTGCACATGGGGGATTTGGAGAAAATACAGCACCAATTGATATTGTGTCACAAAATCACAAAGTATGACCAGGTTATTTAGGGGATTTGAAAAGTTTTGGGCAGCAACATTGATAGTGAATACCAAGGCCTTTGCTCAATCGTCTAAAGTGTATGGGGATTCTGAGGGTCTCGAGATGAGCAAATGGGTGTATGAGCAATTGGATAGTCCCTGCCATTTAATATTTGGTGGATCATTTTATTTTAATATGTCATTTGGAACTTATGGACCATTTAATATTTAATGAATCAGTTTAATTTAGACTGTCATTCAGAATTTATATTTAATCAAAGAGTTTCTATCGATGTGATAGGGTGGATAAGTTCAAACATACCCTTTATCATATCAAATGGATAAATTTTATTTTTATAGATTTGAAATTTAGATAAAAGAATTATTTTGCTTATAATAATGCACTCTTGTAAGGCCATTATCTCAATAAAAGAGTGTGAATTAAATTGGTTTGTTGATGTGTATTTCTTTTATATATATGTATATATATTTGACGTGATTTTTTCAATTACGGAGTAAAGCATTTAAAAACATCTCTACTTGGATGGATCATTTCATTACGAGTACCCTCGTGATTTTATTTTTTATTTATTCGAATGGCAAGATAACATGGAAACAAATATTGGTTAGGAAAGTATGTTCTCGAAGACGTTCTAAAAATATTGGTTAGGAAAGTATGTTCTGGGCTTCGCATTTTTGAGTTTTCCATTTCGATCACTCCTTCGGGATTGCGAATGTAAAAAAGTCTAAAGGAGAGGCTATTTTCATGGAGAGAGAAGAGAGAACGTATTGAGGAGAAATAATTTGACAAACAGCTAGAGAGACTTTTATTTATTTATTTTTATAAATAATATTTTGGGATTGTTGCCAAAACAACAAATGAAACCAAGAAGTAAAACATGTTCTAGGGTAAATCACAATTTTCTTTTATTATTTTATATTTCAGGAAGTTTTGTGCAATCAACTCTCTCTCTCTATATATATATTTCATCAGGTACAAAAAATTGTTGGCATTAAAAAGGTAACTGCATTTCTAAAATTTCCCACTAAACATGGTTCTATAACCATCCTTTTTATTTGAGAACTATTTTAGGAGTGCAAACACACATCTCCCCTGTAATTTATATTGTAGTCTCCTTGCTGGACTATGTTAAAGACACTGTTGTGCCGGAGACAATAAATTAGTGGGGGTGTTACTGTGTGAATTCACCTGTCATGACCCAATATCTATGTCATGACCCAATATCTATATATTGAGATTGTGTTATCTCTCTTAGGAGAGGTCAAGTTAATGGACATACAAACGAATAGAATCCAAGACCACATAAAATGAGGAACAAAATCTGGCATAATGGATTTTGGCATATTTTGCTTATATTCCTGGTTTAACTTCTTTCTTTTCCCCTATATTAACAGTTTAACACACACAAACACTAGGCTTACAACTATTGATAAGCACAATCTCAATATATATATATATATTGGGTCATGACTAATGACAAGTGAATACCCACCCACTAATATATCATCTCTGGCACAACAGTGTCTTTCAAGGCCCCAGGAATAATCCAGTTATCAACAATGCTAGAGTAGCTGAGATTTTCTAACCAAGCAGAGCAAGCTGGCCCATACTATCAGGCATGGGCAGCTAGCAGAGGGTTAGGATTCTCCTTATCGAGTCGTTTCAGTGGTGAAATAGCAATGTTTATACTGTGGTCGCTCTGCTTCATGGTGGCTCAGCTGCTTTTGCAGCTTCATATTTTGTGTCCAACCTGCAGAAATTAGATTGAAACTAGCCAACATGGATATGCATCATGCTAGCAATTATACTCATCAATTTTACTTAGTTTACGCAGTTTCTTTAGAGAGAGAGAGAAGAAAAACCAGTACAACATTATGAAAGAATAGGAGACTAACCATAACTCATGCCATTTATGTATACAAGAATCCTTAAATGCACCAAAACAACTTACCAGCTCATGTTATCTCTAACCACGATCCCAATAAGGAAAATGGGGGTTTAAAATTTATATGAAGAAGCCTAGCCTAAAATTTAAAAAAAGAAAAGAAAAAAGGGGGTAATATACCTCATTACCGTCAAAGAATCAGTTGTTGAAAAGATAATTTGCTAAACTTTAAGATGGAACAGCACTCTTATTTACACCACCTTGACGGCCAAATTTCTCACTTCCACTTCGATCAACTCGTTGATATTCCTCCACATTGCGTCCACTAGGACCTTTATATCGGCCCGAAAAGTCGCCTGAGTTTCTGAACTCATTCCTGCTATGGCCCCTGCCACCGCCAAAGTTCCCACGGCCTCTGAAGCTATCACTCCGGAATCCACCTCTCCCTGAAGTGTACCTCCCTCTCCCACTGCTTACAACTGCAAGAATCAACAGCAAAACAAATTATCAATCTATCCCCAAGGCCAACGTCAAATTTTCACAGGGAAGCCCCAGGTTCCATTTAGCTTGAACGATTTAAAATAAATTCCTAACTTGCCTCGTGTTGTGGTTCTCTTTTCCTCAACAACAGCTTGACGACCCCCGATTGTTAGAGGTGAGGCCTGACATAAAGCAAAATCTTCAATAGATACATGAGAGGAAGAAGTGCAAATTATGAGCAGTGAGTAACAGTGTTACAAACCATACTGAACATTCTATCCAAGTACAGTTAGAGCCAGCCATTAGCATGGTCTGATTTAACCAATAACTATAAGTGGCCCCCCAAAATTATGAACAAAAAGAAAACGACCAACTTAATAATAGAATTTTTCACTTATTTGTAACAGGTCACAACATATTGAACTGAAAGTATTAAGATCCAAGCAAAGATAACACCAAACCCGCGCCACGTGCTCACTGGATGCTTACATGGCATCCACATGGCATGCTTGAGTCCATTCGTTTCTAAAACAAGTAGGGAAGAATGTAGTTTTGTAGTATGTATTAAATGTTTATGGAGCTTATTGGATTAAGTTAGAAAAACCTATATTATTATAAGAGAGTTGATCTAAGCCATTGAATAAATATAATCATAACCGTTCCTTTGCTAGATTGTTGCCTATAAATAGGTAGGGGGGGTCTCATTGGTAAGCTTTTTTATTCCCTAGCCACAAGTGGATGCCTAAGCATGGGCAGATGTGCAAGCCAAGTGAGAGCGAAAGTTGCTACTAAATGTTGTGTGACATAACAATAATAAATGCTTTTACTTGGTTACATTATTTCCATAACAAAGGTGAATGATGGGAAAGACCAAAATAATCAAATAAAAATCTCTCAACATAAAAATAACAATCAAGTAACAACTTGTCATGAGAGATAATCTATTTAAAGAAAGAAAGATTTTCCTCATGCTTTAACTCTAACAAAATGAACCAGCATGGATTAGTGAAGGATATATTGTTTTCCAGAGAGAGTATTAATTTCCTTCTAGAGAAGAGGGAAGGTGTTTGGGATTTTACGAGAGCAACAAAAGATAGCAATTACAACTAAAAAAGGAGAAATAACAAAGTATAAGGTGGTACCTTTATTGCATTCTCCATAGAAATCAAGGACTCAAATTCAACGAAGCCAAAACAAAACCCTTGCTGCAAGGCACAAGAAGTAAAGACGAAGCATTAATATCATATATATATATATATATATATATATATATATATATATATATATATAAGATGAGTTGTAGCATTCACAGAGCAATGCTGAAGCAGACCTTATTACTTCTGACTTGAATGCCACCACGATTTATAGGCCCAAATTTTTTGAACTCTTCCTCAAGCTGTGTGACCATTGCATTCGGAGGCAAATTTCGTATATATATGGAGTGACCTTCAACTTTAACATGTATAAACTATAAAGTCAATATTAAAACATTAATTTGTATTAGAGAATTTATAGCAACATGACATATTGGACATCTTTTATTGATACTAATTCCAACATAACATCTACACACCATAAATCAGACATCTCTGAAAGATTCAAGCTTCGATAATAGAAGAGTGTTCATAAAGTTTTCCAACATAGAAACTCGCCTTCAATGTAAATGTGTATATCATTTATTCAATGCAAAAGAATGGTTACCTTCCTCATAAGCATTTTCACTTCCAGGAGCATTGTCACTGATAGGAGCTGATGCTTCTGGTTCACAAGAATTTTTTGCAGAACCCAGTGACTGCTGATCAGCACTGGCATGTACCATCCTCACACTGTTGGTAGGAACATAGACTGGAGTAGACACTTTGGTAACCTTCGCTACCTTCACCTAAATGAAATTCAGTGCAATAAAAGTCAAATAAAGCGTTGAGACAAACCACCTTCAAAGTAACGTTGGCCCTGAACTCACAATTGATGCGTAAGATTTCTTTCCCTCTTGGGCTGCAGAGGGATCTGAACTGACACTTGCAATAATCTCATTTTGAATTGATTGAGTTGGGAGTTCATCAACAACCTCTTCTTCAAGAGTTGATCCCCCCTCATTATCTGAAGGGTCACAAATTTCCTCCCCAATGTTTAGATCCTCAGCCTCAAAGGTAGTTGCAGGATCAGATGCGGGAAGATCGGGAGCTTGAATGGGCTCTGAAAACAAAAATAAAAGCCATCCCAAGATTGATTATGAAAACAACTTCAATAATGTAAATTGAGGACAAAGAATAAAACCAACCTGGACCTGATGGCAAGGAAGCTGCTGGAGCATTGTCATTGATACCATTAACTGACACGGCACTGGTCTCCAATGATTCAATTTCCTCAACATACCTAAAAACATCATTAAGGACAAAGTAGCCTTTCTCTTGTGGTGCCAGAAAAAATGTTTGTGTAAATTTTCTTTTTATATTGTCCTTTCCAGTTAAGCATCCTGTTACTAAGACGATCACCCCCCCCTCGTAAGACTCCTGAGCATCTGCAGTTTTTATCTCTGCCTTACAGTTTTTGTAGTCCAAAGATAGAATCATGTCATTGATTGCCTGATAAAAAGCAAACAAGACAGGGTTTTGTTTATCAGAAAACATCAAACAACACTTCAATTTTAGAACTTTACAATTCAGTTCTTTCAAGTTGAATAGAGACGAAGTAGTATGATCACCAAAGATAGATCCCACGATTAAGCAGTCAAAGATGGGGTACCAATGGTGGATGAAGCTGCAAGTTGTCAGCCCAGTGCACAAATGCAATGATGGACTTTCTTTGGGTAGATAGGCGAGAAGAGTTTAAGTTCCACCTTGCTAACTGGCATTCTATTCATTGTCATAAATAGTGTGGCACATTATGTTTTAGATTCTTAATTCATATAAATCGAGCGCATTACAGGAAAGCCTATGTAAATTTGATAAAAAATAAAATAAAAATAAAAAAATAAAAAAGAGAGAATTTATGAAAGAAAAGTGGTGGTTTGGGAGTATGGATTTGTTGATGGCAAGGAGTGACCAGAAAGTTCACGGAAAAAATGGTTTGGGACTTTGGAAAGTTATTATGAACGTGTCTTGTGATATTGCTAAAGAGGAGGTAGCAGAGGGAATGGAGAGAGAGATATTTGCTTAGGGAGACCTCTCTTATAAAGGAATTTCCGCATCTCTATGGAACCTCCCACAAACGAAATAGTTAGCTAAGAAGAGTTCATGATTGGAAACAGGAGTGTGTTATGGTTTCTAAGCATTTTTTGTTGTTTGAGTGACTTAAGAGTGGTGGGCTTTAATATTGTCTATTTTTGAAAGTTCCATGGTACCAACATAATGAGGGGCATGCTTCCACAACATATCGCAGGGATTAGGATGTCCAGAGGTTCTTAGACTGGGTGGCTAGAGCCCGGGCAAGCTTAGGCAGATCCTTACACCAGGCTACACCTGGAAGAGAATTCAAAGAAACTGGAAAATAAGGTGAAAGATTTGCGTCTACTACAAGCAACAGGCAAAGCGAAATCTCCTTCCGACGATTTTCAACAAATGCCATCAGCAAGATATCCAAATATTAAACTAAAGTGAGAGGGTATAGTACAGTTTCTTGAGGTACAGATTATTATTATTATTTTTGCTAACTCGAATTTGTGCTGCTTATTCTTCTTCTTCCAGTTAAAATCTTCAAATTCATTTTTTTTTTTTTTTTTTTGGTTCTCTTCAGTTTGTGATTCTTTTGCATACAATTTCATGACTGATTTCAATCCACTTTTTTTCACTGTTTCCTTCTCTATGTAGCTTCAAAGGAGAAGATCAATTATTGTTGTTGTAGTAGTCTCCTTCTAGAGTCATTTCTTCACACTGTTGTAAATGATTGTACCTATGTAGGAGGTCTTTCACTTTTCTCCAATGTACATAGGTACTCGATTTATAATCTTCAAGGGCATTGTGTTGTTGGGTAATGGGTAGAAGTCTAAAAAAGAATGGCCTCTTCATGTTCTGTAGGATTGTGAGATGTCAGTTTATAAATTTTCCTCTCTCCCTTTCTTTCTCTCTTGATAATCAATGTTTCGCAAATTCCATATTGAATATAAGAGCATCAACTCATCAACTTCAACCCCCAACCCCCCCCCCCCCCCCTCTTTTCTTTTTCATGGGCTCACAATTTGTTTTTTTCTTGTGTTTTTAAATTCTTTCTTTTCTTTTTCCCTGTGCTATTTAATTCATCTTGCAATCCTTTAAGAATTGGTATAACTTTCAATGAATCAAAAAGAATATGACGATGTTTGATACTTGTGCCTCTTTGTGCAAGTGATGTTCGATTTTAAGATTTATCGAGCTTTTATAGACATTGGGTCAATTAATTTCTCTTCAAGAGCAGCTAAAGTTCCATTCATTTTATATTTAATATTCTGACGGCACATAAATTGAGAAATGTAACAGAAAAGGAAACCAAATAACTTATATATATAATTTACTTGGATGAAGTTATCTATACATACATGTTCCATATGTTTGTAATAATCTTTCTATATGGTTTAATATTTTTTCGACTGGTTCTCTATCTTATTTTTTTGGGGGGGTAAATTATACTCATCCCCTGAGGTTTTTTGATAGGTAATTCAAACAAACACACCAATGATTGTCCCATTGGGGACTCGAACCATCAATCTTCCAAGAAGGAGCAGATATAACTTGAGCTAAGCCTTTGGTGGTATCTTATCTTAAAAATTCTTTATTTAGACAAATAGTTTTATACTTTTTCATTTCTGTTCACTTTTTAAACCTTACAATCCTTGATCTGATCCTATGAACCATGTATTAATTCAACGTATGATTCCAATCCTAGCAATCTTGATTACATTAGTGTATAACATAAGACATGTCTGCATACCAGTACCCATATTTTGGACAAATTCTCCTGTATCCTAAGACTTGGAATTCAGTGAGGTCCAAACTTAAACGTCCAACTGCACCCAATTGACATACCTAAATCCATGTAACACAGCTCTAAACCTCACTGTTTACATTGATGCTAGTACACGCATTATATTGACGAAATTATCTAAAAATTTTGATCCAAGAATTAACTGTTGAATGGGCCATCACATATTGAAAAGAAAAATAATTCAGTAAAATAAGTTGATCGTAAATGGATTATCATTTGGAGTCCACCATGGAACCAAAAATGTGCTCCAAGCACTACATAGTATTAAATTGATGAAAAAAGTAACATATCTTTCTTTTTTTCTTTTTTTTTATTTTGTTTTTGGAGTTACAAAACATGACAGCATCAAAGTGGCATTCAAGGGAAATCTAGTAACTGAGATAAGGATCGCCCTAAAATAGTTTCTTTCTACACTTATTAACTTTCTAAGTAAGAATAATGATGCAGCTTATCTGTCATATATACATCAAATGATGAACAAATATATACAACTCAACAGAAGCTTTATTCGTAATTAACTTACTTGCATGGTTGTCACTGAAGTCATTACTCCATTGGAATTTGGTCGGCTCAGTACACTCGAATCGTGATAGAATCTATAAACCAAATCAGGAGATTGATGAAGAATGTGGTAATACTGCTCTACAAAGGCATTTCCAACAACATGGGCACTGGGAAGAGCAGCAGCAGGGCTTGCTGACTGCATTGCCATCTGCCTAGAATTCAAAACAGTATAATATAAGAAGAATAATCAAAACAATTAAATAGAGAAACTATAGAATATCGTATCTGAAGAAAAATTGATAAAACAAAAAATATGCCCGCTTTAAGAAATTTGCAAATAAAAAAACATCACCAAAAAGAAAAGAAGCACTGCAAAAAAATTATGTAAAGAATATAAATAGTGATTAATGAAACCAAAGAAGAAATAAAAAATTCCAGCTGCAACAGTGTACTAAAGAACAGCCCAAAAATGAAAAAAAAAACAGTCGCATTTAAACATTGAAAAGAAAAGAAATAAGGAAACATTAGTTTCAATGTGGATGCTTAAATACCTCAGCACATAAAAGAATGAAGAAGACTAGAAAAGCAAACAGGAAATCAATTCTCCTAACATCACAGCAAAATAAGGCAGTACTCAAGAACGTTATGAACTTATAATAGTCGATACTTTAAGGTAGAATATGTAAATGGATGGGCTTGTTGGCCTTGAGGAGTTGAATTAGATTGAACGCATTCATGAGATGGTTGAAGTAGGACCTGTTGGAGATAAAAATGTGAGAAAATCAATTAAGATGGTTTGGACATATGCAAAGAAGACCACCAAGTTCACATTTTACGATGAGTAACATGGTCCATGTTGAGGGTAATCCTAAGGGAATGGAAAAGCCAAAATTACCATTGGTAGAGTAGGTAAGGAAAGATAGGGCAACAAGTGCTTCCACTGATATTAGCCTTACATAAAGTACGATGAAAATATAACATTCATGTAGCTCAATCCAAGTAGCTTGGAAAAGGCTTTATCTGTCATTGTTTGTTGTGTAAGTTGTGTGTGCGGGTGTTATTCAAAATATCACTTTCTAATTTTTGTTAATTGTTTAGGGACCAAACCGGGAACAAGAATATTCATTGAATGCAGGTTTGACTCAGCGTATAAATACAGATAACATATAATCAATACAATCTGAAATGTAGTGAATCTAAGAGGCAAAGCCTAGAATCCCATATGACAATAAAATAATATCTAAAACCATGCATTAAACCCTAACAAAGAAACTAATATAGTTAACCCAAAATAGAGTTAAAAAAGCACAATTTTTTTTTTAATAATTTAAAAAAAAAAAAAAAAAAACACACACACACACACACAAGCTTTAAGGTTACAATCACCACGAACCAAACATATAGACCCTGTAAAGATAGAAATTGTAGCAAAGAAAAACATGCAATCATTGGATCTCAAAGACTGGGTTTTTAAGCAGAGGAATAAGAAAAACCCAAATCAAATACCTATGTGATCTGGTCAACACTCTGCGGAATTAACCATCTTTGTGGTTGTGATTCCAACAATTAAAACAAATATGCGGAAAAGTTTACAACTATGACCTCAAGTGTCAAACCCATCAACAAAAAGAAAAAAAAAAAATGAAAAAAGAGAAATCAACCTAAATAGTTCAAATTAAGATTGATCATTTGGATGCAGAGTAAATTAAAAAAGCAAACTTTATGCATCAAATGAAACAAATAAAGCAGTATAAGTTAAGAATTCGAAGACGAATCGTAAGAAGAGTACCTGCTGTTGAGTGATTTCGAGTCTTGTAGAGAGAGAAATGAAGATATGTAGAGAGAGAAATGAAGAGATCTGCGAAGCTTTTTTATGCAGCGAGTGAACAAAGAGAAAATGAACGACAGAGCAAAGATACTGAAACTGATGTTGTATATAGTCTTGTGAAAGATGCTTTGAATATGGGCTTGATCTCGACCTGGTGGCCCAACTAAGTTTGGTCTGAAGTCACGCTCATTGGAAATTCCTCCCCCTCTATATGGGCCCAAAAAAGCAGATATCTGTGTGTTTGGTTGTGTTCTCAAAATACCATTCTATTCTCAATAAAGAATGTTAAAATTCATTTCTTTTAAATTCATAACTCCTTATGAATTTTTGGAGAAAATAATAAAGAGAAAAGCAAGAAATATATATATATATATATATATATATATATATATATATATATATATTAATTGTAAGTTATAATATGGCTTGAACCATAACAATTCACTTCATTTGTTATAAAACCAGAATTAAACTGGATAATCACTAATTTTACATTAAGAAACACTAATTTGGATCCTCTTCAATGCACCTAATATATTTGGGTGCATTATTTGCAGTGAGAATCACACACTCTATTAGGCCAGACACGATCACGGGTGTCCCTGATAAGTATGATGATCCTTCGTACGTAGTGTATCGGAGAGAATCCAAATTCTCATCAACATGCAAAATGACCGTCAACGCCTTCCACTTTGAGTTGCTGTCATTTTTAGTGAGAAATAGTGGTGGCTACAAAAGTCCCACCTGTGACCTGTTGGCAACCAAGAAGCTCCCTTTTGCTAAAGCCTTTGTTCACCTCTTGCTTATGGAGTGAGTAAAAAAGTACAAGTAGAAGCACATATAAAGCAAATGGGAATTGGAATGAGGCTAGTGCTTCTACGTTACATGACAAAAAGAAACCACAAAAGATAAAAAGTAGTATTTCTCTAAAAGTAAAGCTACTGCAAAGCGTTTTCTCAATTCTATGAAGCTTCTCATGGTTTATTTTGAGTTGACACACAACAAAACTAGGGAAAAAATTCACCACAGTAAAAGGGCCGAAGCTCAAAAGAGCCACACAAAAACACGGCCCAAAAAGTAAAAGTCCAGCTTGAAGTTGAAAATAAACGAGACCTGCATGAATCAATCCCATTAGCATTAGTAGTAATACATGAATGTTATAGGGGGACTTCTAGAATTTCGTAAACATGTTGCTCGACTTCTTTGACAACAAAGAACCTATGTAACACAGACACGGCCGGATACGAATACGATACAACACGAATACGTTGACACGTCAAAATTTTAAAAAGTAAGACACGGGTACGGCTTGGACATAGCTACATATAAATATAAAATTTTAATTCTATACATCTATTCAATAGTATTATAAAATTTTAATTCATTTATAATTTTTATACTAAGAGTTGCTCTAAAATGAATTAGAAAATAAATTTATGTCATTATTGTAATGATTTTAATATTATATATACCATTATTTCATTATTTTGTCGTGATAGTATACATATTATTTTTAAGATTATGGGGTAGACTTATGTTAAAAATATCCGAGAAGTGTCTGCGAAGTATCCGGGAAGTGTCAGCGAAGTGTCAGAAATAATAAAATTAATTTTTATTTATGGATACGTATATGAAGTGTCAGACACGTATTCGAGGAGTATTCGAGGAATGTCGATATCCGACACAGGTATGACTCCTTCGTAGAAATGTATATGCTTCTTAGCAAAGAACTAATACACACTACTAGATCTACAAAGGATGTAATATTTCAAATATAAGAAAGTCAAGTGTTTTGTGACAAAGATCATCCTTTGGTTTCAGAAGCAGCTTTGTATGGTATTCCGTCTTAATTGTCTCTAATTTTTCTTGATACACATTTGGTTTATTTTAAAGATAACACATTTGAAAATATTCTTAAGTTGTAACTTGAAAATAGGTGTTTGAATACCAATTTATTCCTGTAAAACATTTAGGAAGGCGGATATTTAATCCCAAGCCTAATCCAGACCCTACTTAGGAGTGGAAGGTGGTGAGCAAGGGTAAAGGAATCCTCGTTGATGTTCAATGTGATGAAGATACTTCTGTTACAGATGGCGTTGGGTCTATTCAGCAACAAGGTACTGAACCTACCACTGAGAGGGGCAAGGAGAAGGCTGGTACCATAACCCAAGCTGGGGAATCAATTAAGGGTCAAGGTCATAACAAATATAGTCAGCTTGAAATTGATAATGCTCTCATCATTGAAACAAGCTCAAATGATGATCAATTTGAGGGTAGGGCTTACTATATGAACCAAGGTAATAATACAGTCTTGCCTCACGAAGTCACCACAGCTCATAATCCCACTATCAGTAACATTTTAGTAGCAGCTTCAGAAAGTTCATGCTCATCTGCCATCAAAGAAGAATCCACATCTTTTGAGGGTAGCAAGAAGAAGAAGAAGAAGAAGAAGAAGAAGAAGAAGAAGAAGATGGAAGAAGAAAGGTGACCCTGACCAACTACCAGAGTTTAGCTTGTCTTTATGATCCTTGCTATATGAAACATCAGGGGTCTCAATTTCCCTGAAAAACAAATAGAAATAAGGAAGCTCATCTCTGAGCATTCATTGCACTTCTTAGCTATCCTTAGAACTAGAGTTAATGAGTCCAATAGTAACTCTGTCCATAGATGTATTGCCCCTTCTTGGCAGCTTATCCATAACTACTCTCACTCTCCCTTGGGTAGGATATGGATTCTGTACAACCCTAGAGTATTTAAGGTACCTAAGATGTCTGATGAGGCTCAAGTTATTTATTGTAGTTTGACTAATATTGAAGACCACACACACTTTTTACTTCTCTGTGGTCTATGCTTATAATACTGTCATTCAGAGAAAATGGCTATGGTTTGATATTACTACTTTTGCATCTATGGTTGGTCATACTTCATGGTCAATCATAGGTGATTTCAATGTCATAAAGCACCCTAGGGAGAATTTTGGAGGCTTTGATAATTGGAATGCTGGTATCATTGAGTTCAATGAATGCATCCATAATGATGAGCTCACTGATCTCAGGTTCACTGGCTTAAGGTTCACTTGAACCAACAAGAGTCCTGATATTGCTAATGTAACTAGGAAGCTTGATAGGGTAATGAGTAGTGAGAAATGGACATCCTCATTTCCTATGTCTGGATGTGAGTTCCTGCCTTATGGGATCTCTGATCATTCTCCCATGATTGTTAAGTATGGAGATAGAAACATGAAGAAGAAAATGCCCTTTAGATTTTTCAACTTTCTTGCTGACTATAAAGATTTTTTGGACACAGTGGCTTTTGTATGGTCCCAATAAGTTCAAGGAACCACTATGTTTCATGTGGTGATGAAGCTGAAAATGTTGAAATCCAAATTGAAGCAACTCAACACGAAAGACTTCAGTGAGATTTCTCAGAGAGTGGTGGCTGCTAAGGAGGACCTCCACAAATGTCATGTTAGGTTGGATGTCGACCCATCTAATGATACTGTTAGAAGCTCTGAGAATGTTTCTCTTCATAAGTACATTGAGCTGTCAAAAGCTGAGGAACAATTCTTCCATCAAAAGTCTAGAGTTAATTGGATTAAAGATGGTGACGAGAATACAGCTTTTTTTATGAAGACCTTTAGCAATAAGTGCAATAGGAAGAATATTACTAGCCTTGCTTTGGCTAACGGTGAGACCACTGATTCTATCCAAACCATCAAGGATGAAGCTCTCAGGTTTTTCAAGGATTTGCTTGGTGAAAATGTTGGCCAATACATTAGATCTCAATCCATCAACACAATCTTCTGTAAGTCCATTCCTGCTTCTCTCCATGAAGATTTGGTGAACATTCCCTCTATGGAGGATATCAAAAACTGTTTCTTTTCCCTCAAAAACTCCAAGGCTCCTGGTTCGGATGGGGACAATGCCTACTTCTTCAAAAAAGCCTGGTCTATTGTGGGTTATAACATCTCTAGTGCTGTTAGGGAGTTTTTCATCATCGGGCAAATCTTGAAAAAAATCAACTCCACATACATCTCCTTGGTCCCCAAAGTCCCAAACCCAACTACCTTTAATGATTTTAGACCCATATCCTGCTGCAATACCATTTATAAATTCATTTCCAAGTGTTTTTTTTTTTTTTTTTTTTTTTTTTTCCTAGTTGGTACTCACACACACATGCCTCCACTGAGATTTGAACCCCTGATTTTCCTTTGAAAAATAGGGGCCTAATACCGCTAGGCCACAGGCCTATCGGTAATCATTTCTAAGTTATGGGCTAAGAAGTTATAACCTATCCTCCCTACCTTCATCGACAAATGTCAGACTGCATTTATCAAGGGTAGAAAGATTAGTGACAATTTTTTAATTGTCCATGAGCTCTTGAAAGGTTACCATACTCATCCCCTTCTCCTAAATGCACTGTCAAGGTTGATCTTAGGAAAGCCTACGACTCCATGTGTTGGCCTTTTTTGTTCCAAACTCTATCTATTATTAACTTACCCCCCAATTCATTGGCTGGATCACAGCATGTGTATCCACACCTTCGTATTCCATTGCCATTAATGGGGAGCTTGTGGGTTATTTTGGAGGTTCCAAAAGTCTAAAGCAAGGGGACCCTTTATCCCCATTCCTTTTTTTCTTTTTCTTTTTTATTATAATGGATGTTCTTTCCTCCTACATTAACCATGCTATACAGAACTCTAATGAGTTTGCCTTCGAGATGCAAGAAAAATAGGCTTTCTCACTTATGTTTTGCAGATGATTTGATGATGTTTTGCCACGGGGAACCTCAATCCTTCTCCATCCTACTTAAGGCGCTTAATGACTTCAGTGCTGCCTCGGGTCTTCACCCTAACCCAAGTAAATGCATGATATTTACTTCTAACCTTCCTAATGATGTGCAGGGATCTATTGTGAGAGCTTGCGGTTTTGAGCTAGGGCAATTTCCCTTCAGATACCTGGGTCTTCCACTTACCTCTAGCAAGCTATCTACAATAGATTGCAAATGCTTGGTGGAGAAAATTACAGCAAGGGTGGCTTGTTGGACATCCAAATTTCTTTCTTATGCTGGTAGAGTCCAGCTCATCAAGT